GTCCCCTCCCTCCGAGAGCGCCACGTCGGAGCCGCCTGCCGCCCAGAGCGGCTGCCAGGCCCAATGGTCGGAGCGCCTGGCAGGCAGCTCCCGAGGGAGGGCGCCAGGGGCGCGCCTGGCAGCGCCCGCCTCCCCGCCACGTGGACCCAGGACGGCCGCCAGCAGCCGGGGATCGGCGCCGGTCGCTCGTGGGTCCCTCGGTCTGCCTGTCATCCCCACGATCCACGCGTGGAGAGGAAGATTCCTCGTGTTGCGCGTGGCTGGGGCTGTGCAGCAGCCGGGCAGGGAGAGGAGGAGGAAGGCGGCGGGCGGGCGGCGGGCGGGCGGTGGCATCTCCTGGGAAGCTCCAGTTCCCCCTTTCCCCGGACCCAGGTCCTCCTTTCCCACGTGCAGAATATTAGGCAGGCGTGATCTCCCCGCCCCCCCACGCTGCAGTGGTACAGTCCATTCTGCCGCGGCCGCGCGCATCCTCGCATCTTGGGGCGTCCCCGGGGAGGCGCGTGCCTGCGTGTGAACGGGGTCTGTCTATCCGCTGTCGGAATCCGTGTTCTGGGTTGTCCCCGGCTTCCCTGCCCGTGGGAACGCTTCCCCGTGGGCCCTCGTCACCTCCGGCGGCTGGTTGGCAAAGCCCCGGTGCCCACCGAAGCGACGAAGCGGGCGGCCCGCCGCGTGGGCAGGGCATGAGCGGACGGCGGGTTCCTGTGCCAACCTCTGCACGGTGCCAGGATGAGGGAAATGCTTCTGGCCGCGCTGCTCCTCGCGGTGCCAGCCAGCTGGGCGGCCCCAAAGGAGGACGCTAACAGGTACCAGGTGGGAACCTGGGGGTGGGGAAGGAGGCACGGTGGGGTTTGAAGATGGGGGGGCTGAGGAGGGGGTCCTTGGTGCCCCCTCCAACAACACCTTCTCTTTGTGCCCTTTAGGTCTGAGCCCTCCCCAGTGCCAGGGAGCCCCCCATCCCGAACCCCCTCGACCCAGGGCAGGAGTCTGCCAGGTGAGTTCCTTGCCCATCGCACCCCTTGTCCCCACCTGGGAGGACGCATTTTGGGGGGGGGGGAAGACTGGCAGAGGGGTAGGCAAGGTCTCTCTGCCTCTGACCCAGTCAAATTCCCACTCCATTGTTACCCTCAAAGGGCCCCCCAGGCTTGAAGCAGAGGAACACCCCCCATAGAACATAGAAATCTTGAATTGTAGAAATGGAAGGGACCCCAAAGGTCTTCTAGTCCACCCCTCGCAATACAAGTCTTTGTCCCTCTCCAGGCAGAGAATGGGCCCCCTCCCCTCTACTTCTGCCTCCTCCCCCCAGCAGTCAGTTTTATTTTTTTTAAAACCATGCTTTTTATTAAGTTTTCCATATTTCATTTCATTACATTACACATAACATAGCTTATATTATTTGCTCAGAGCATCGACCTCCTTCCTCCCTCTTTTCTGACTTCCCTATAACATTAACACATCTATCTCATTTCCATAATCACTTCTTTGTCTTATATCAACATTTAAGAATCACTCTCTCATTTGTAAATTAGCATCTTAATTTCACGTTACCAAACATTTCATGTTAAAAGCTACAAACGTTTTCAAATATTTACAATTTTTCTTTCAAATAATAAATAAATTTGCTCCATTCCTTTTGAAATCTTTCATCGGGTTGATTCCTGATTCTCCCTGTCAACTTCGCCAACTCCACAAATCCTGCCACCCGTTATCTGCCAGTCCTCCAGCGCGGGGAGTTCTTGCTGTTTCCATCTTTGGACCAGGAGGATTCTTGCTGCCGTTGTGGCGTACATGAACAAATCTACATTTTAAAAATGAATTTCTTCGCTAATTAACCCCGATAAGAATGCCTCTCGTCTTTTGCTGAAATTATATTTTAATATCTTTTTTAGTTCATTTAGCAGTCAGTTTTCAATGAGGCCTGGTGCTCACACAAGCCCCCAAACCAGGCATCTAGTAAGGCAGCTTCTGAACATATACAGGTAGTTCATCCCTGGCATATAGTAAGAGGGCCTCTGAGCATGTCCAGAATACGCACCCGCCCCAATGAGGAACTGCAGGTGTCCCTCCCCACCCCTTCAAGGCGCAGTTTCCCCAATCAGGCATTTTGATCCTGAGCAAACAGGAGCGGCCCAAAATTCTTTTTCTGTAAATGCCTCAAGTCTGCTGGTACCTGGAATGGGCAGACCTTGGCTCCTTCCTGACCGTTGCGCCCGTTGCCCAGGCCCAGAGGCTCCCTGCTGCCCCCTGCCCTTGCCAAGCCCCACAACCCTCCGCTGCCCCCTGGTTTGCTGACCTGTGGCTTGGCCTGGTGTAGGTTGATACAGGAGTACCTGAAGAACGTCGGGCAAGAGGATGGCAAGGCCAGTGCCATGAGCAGGAAGCAGGGTAAGTTGCCAATGGGGTCCCAGGGCCAGGATGGCCTTAGATGGCACCTCGGGGCCTGAGTGCCAGGGCCTGGCAGGCGGGGAGCGTGAGCTGGGGGCCATAGCTGTCAACATTTTCCTTTTTTAAGGGAAGTTCCCTTATTCGAATAGGATTCCTTGGCAAGAAAAGGGGAAAGTTGACAGCTGTGCTGGGGGCGAGGGTAGAAGGCTGGCCCTGAGTGCCCGGGGGGGGGGGGCTTTCTTCCAAGAGGGGCCTCAGGGAATCCCCCTGGGGCAGGTGACTTTATTTGGGTCACTTTATTTGGGTTGGGAACAAATGCTTTGGGGAAGAAATGGGTAAAAAAGAACAAATTCTGCTGGAGGAGCTGAGCAAACCTCAGAACAAGCACAGGTGTGTGAGGCAAAAAGCGGGGGGGGGGACAGGACAGCTGGAGCAGCAGCTGATTTTGACGAGAGGAAAAAAGAAGAATTATAGAACTGTAGAGTTGGAAGGGACCCCGTGGGGTCATCTAGTCCAACCCCCTGCAATGGAGGAGTCACAACTCATCACACACACACCCCTGACAAATGGCAATCCAACCTGCTTGAAAACTTCTA